AAGAATATATAATATTTCATGAGTATAGAACAATACAAGTAATCACTGCCATCTGTCTATATGATCAGTAATACATATTTATACTTTTTGATGCTTCCTATCTAATAGACACTATGTTAACAGCTGTTGACGCGGTACTTTTTGACCTATTACAAGCTGCATTATTCATTTAGCTGTTTGTATACGTGTCCACATCTGTATCGCATTGCAGATTTGCCAAACGGTCATCGTCGCCATTAATACTATTCTCGAGCCTCTACCCATTTTGCAACTATTTCTCTGTTTCTTTCTCGGCTGATTAAAATTGGAGTATGAGTACAGGCTATATCAAGCAGTCATACTCATTTTATTCTGTTCTCGCGCCACATACACACATACATTTTTCACTTACACTCATACTTATCTTCAAATAAAATAAATATTTGCCATGACTGACGCAATCAAGAAAGGTGCTGAAGCCGTTAAGGATAAAGTTGCAGGTAAATGAGTTCAGTTTTTTCTTCTTTGCTTCTAAAAATAGTTTAAAACTTTTTTTTTTTACAGAAACAACATCCGGAGCCAGCCATGAAGCTAATAAAGCTGCTGCTAAAGATTCAGATCGATCACTTGGAGATCGTGCTGGCCATGGTAAGAATTTTTTTTTCTTTGTCAGTTTATAAAATATTTCAATAATGTTCTTGTTAGCCGTTGATGCTGTAAAAGATAAAGTCGATGAAAAAAAACATGAAGTATCAAAAGAAGCAAACAAAGAAGGTGCTGAACATGATGCTAAAGGTATTGTCGAAACCGTTAAAGAAAAAGCTGCCGAAGCGTAAGTCCTTATTTTGTGTTCATTCTTTCTTTGAAATAAAGCATTCGTTTATTTTTAGATATAACTATGTTGCCGGAGGCGAAGACGGTAAAGGTCTTGTTGAAACAATAAAAGAAAAAGCTAGCGATACGTATGTATTTTTTTTGTCTCATATTAATTAATTTTCAATCGTTTTTTTTTCTTAAATAATTTTAGTTACGCTTATTTAGCTGAAAAAGCTACTGAAGCAACACATGCTTTAAGTGGTGAAGCTAATAAGGAAGTTGCCAAAGACTCCAATCAATCAGTTGGTACACGTGCAGGTGCTGCTGTTGATGCTGTTAAAGACAAGGTTCAAGAAAAAACGAGTGAAGCTAAAGCTGACGCTCACAAACATAATTTATAAATATCATATCCATCAATAGCACGATGAAAATATTTAATCCATATTCGTGTGTATTTGATCAAAAACTAGACTGCAAGGATTTTATTTGAAAAATAATTTGTAGTAAATTTTTTTTCTCAATATCTGTTATTCTAGCTACATATATATAAAAAATGATTTGCAAAAAAAAAAAAAGATTAAAATTTTTCAACATTCTGTATTTATGTTTATGTATGTCTGTCAAATTTTGTTGTGGTTGTGTATATATGTAAATTTTTAACATCATACAATTAACATATTAATCAATTCATGTATTATTCAGGAGGTTTCTTTATGTTGTTAAAAAAAAATTAAATAAATACAAGGACACAGAATGAAAAAGTAAATTCATGTAGATAGAGAATAAAAATGATTAAACTACAAGTTGAAAGAAAGAAAGAAAAAAATGAGTTTCTTTATAAATATGAAATGATAGTTTTTAATGGAAGGAAATTTTCTGCCGGATATCTTTCCGACTGCACCATTATTATTTAATGAATCGTTCGATAGTCACATAATAATGCTTTAGACTATCATCTTATAATATTTCTATTTCGAAAGAACGACAACGATAAACTCAAGACAAGCACGTCCGCAGAAACTTTTTTCGGGGAGAGGGGGGATTGACGACTTTGCAGGAAAGTTCATCACTGAAAAAGGTTATTTCATATTTCTGAAAATTCTTCGTGTTGTACCCTCTTCAGATATTTTAATATTTTTTGGGAGGGAGGGTGATCGATCCTTTCTCTGCGGACGTTCCTGACTCAAGAATCGTTTCAGATTTCTCATGTTTAAATTTCTCAGTATAATTATTTAAAGGCCATGAATAACAATATTTCATACTGTGAAGTACAAAACGTTCCTCAATTTGAATAATTGCACATATATTGGTCAGAGTTTTTATGTCGAAAATATTTCACCAATATCTAGTATATTATTTTTTAAACATACTGGAGACAAGTAATCTAGATTTTTTCAGATTAGTTTGTTCATCACTTATGAAGGTGTGAATCATAGGCAACAGACCGTATAGATTAGATGAAACTCGAGCTCAGCCAGATTAAGATTTAATTGACTCAAATTTCGTTTCGGTGCAAACATACTTTTTCGCTAGTATGACATTACTACTATCTCCATTGTATTTAAATTATGAATAGATATACTAGTTGAAATATGGTCAGAATGCTTATTTCTCGTGCTCTTAAGTTATATTTCGTATTAAAATTCTATTAGTGCAGTAGGAGGTTGTTACATTTTTTGACGGAAGTTGATGAATCAATTCTTGAATATTGTTCAGAAATCGATTATTAACTGTTCCTTGGGGTAAAACTAGTGAAATACTCTCTAATATGAAATTGATAATCTTTATGTTGTCTGACGTCTTTGTTCGTCCGATGAAGAATAAAATGGGATTTCAGAATTTCGCCAACATATTTATAGGAAATCCTCCAGTGTCATTATGTGTAGACACGACCCAAACCCAAACTGTCTGAGTTTGGGTTTGTCCTTTTTTAATCTGTAGAAGATACTATGTTGGATACATTGATGGCAATTAAAAGAAGACCCAAACCCAAACTCAAACTCATATACCCAAACCAAAACCCAAACTCCCAAACGGTTTGAATTTGAGTTTGGGTTTGGGTCATGTCTAACTATGTGATTACATATGTATACAGATAGCTCCTAGTAACCATATTGAAGCGTTCAGACTATAGTATGCCTATTCTAATAATATCAGGTTAATTTGTCACATGCGTTTTACACTAATCTTGTGTTATTACAGATGGCGAATGTCTTACAGGCGAAAGTCTTATTGACGAAGGGACAGTAAGTCAATAAAATCTCCCACACCTTCAGGATTGTATTTCATATGTATTTGCTTATGTAAAATTTGAATGAATCTACACATGGATACAATAGAAAACTAAAAAAGCTGCATTTCATAAATTCTTTTGGGTTTTATTCATGCTGTTCGGTGGTTTTCTTTGTATGATATCATAGGAAATAAAAGAAATCATAAATAATACATAATAAAGGTCAAGACAAACAGTAACTGGCAATTATTATGTTACGTTCTACGTGGTTTGAATTTTATTGACATACGTTAAAGAAAGGATTCTTATTAATGTTAATATAAATAGAATTCATGTTCAATTGTTTGATGAGATCTATATACACAAATAATGTTTACTCAATGTCTATAAATGAATCTATCTTATGTCTAGATCGAACCAGTTATCAATCTATACTAAAGAAAATGAGAAGAAGAAAAAAACCTTTTTTTGTTTTTTTTCATCTATGATTACTTGTCAGGTAAATAAACAAATGAGTAGATCTGTCAACTATGGATTATCATTAGTTTTTTTTCTAATTCTAAAAAATATATTCGTCTTTCTGAATGAATTCATAGCATATATCATATATATAATGTTAAAAACATTAAATGTCTAGAATTTCTTCTAAGTCTTTTTATTGATTGATGTATGTAATTATATACGAATGACTTTCATCTATTGTTTAGCCGTTGTATAACGCCATGAGAATAAAATACCATTAGGTGAATTTATTTCTTCATGACATTTAAAAACAAAATGAGAATAATTATGTAAAAAGAAATATTATGCTTCATTATAATTAAAAAATAAAGTAATACATCTTGTATTTTCAATATTCTAGTTTTCTTTTATTTAAATTAAATACTAGAGAATTCAATATAATATTCTTTTCAAAATAAATAACTTTCATCTTCTTATAGTATTAGAAAGGAATCTGTAGAAGCTAACAAATTCTATTTATATTCAGACTGAAAAAAAAAGTATTAATCTATGAAATTTTTTTTATGGTTCTCAACGAAAAATTTCTCATTAAAAATATTTTTATATTACATTAGAATTGTCCGAAAAGTCTTGAATTAATTTAATTTCAAATGCATATGTTACAATTTATTATTTAAATAATTCTTTCACATAATCAACTACTTATCTCATGTTAATCACTTATTCACGAGGAAGTTTTTTGCTTAAAACAATTCGAAATCGATAAATTTTTATTATTCAAGAAAAGTATAAAAATCATTAGGACGGTATTGCTCGTGTGAAAAGCTTTTAAAAATATTTAAATAACATCATGGAAATGGTTTGTTCGATGAAAAAGATTGAGATATACAAAGGGTATCTCAGATTTCTGCTCGACTATACCTGTGATTAAAGTCCTTTTTATTATTAAAAGATAGCTATTAAAATTCTCATCCTTGTAAAAAAAAGAATTTTTTCATAATGACGAAAATCGACTGCACAGTTTTTTTAAAAACAAAAAAGTACAATTCGAATAAACTTTAGTTCGTAGATTGTAAAGCTATTCATGTTGCATTTTGTGGTATATTTTGTTTTTTTAATAAAACGTTTTCAGAGATGAAGATATGAAATATCTGTTATTTACTTTTTACAATTGCTTGGGTGTCCTTAGATTCCATCGTTTTTTAAATATATCTAAAACTACTTTTGTAGAGAATTTCAAGAACTATCTTTTACTAACAAAAAGGACTTTAATCACAGGTATAATCGGGAAGAAATCTGAGAGGCTCATTCTTTCTGGAACATCCGTTATAGTTAAATGTATACTTTTCAAATATAAAATAAATTTTATATATAAATTAATACGATTAAATAAACAAAAAATATCTACAAAGAGTTTATAATTATGTATTATTGGATTATACTGAACTTTTTTTAATGATGCTGCTTTTGACCTAATAATTTACATCTGATGAAAAATAAAAAGAATGATATACTCATATTTCCATACAAAACAGGAATATATAACAAAAAAAACAGTTTTATAACCAGAGGAGATCATTAATTTCAAAATATTAATTAACTACGATTTTCGTAAGATGAGCGAAAGACTTGGAAGCATCAAATCTCAATAGTTCTTCGTTGTTCCAGAGTGAATCTGATTATGTCGAATGCAAAAACATAAGAGTAAGATCAAAATCAATACTACTAAATTTTGATTGTATCTTTAGATTATAAATAAGTCTCAATAAGATTAAAAGTACTTCAAATGAATCTTTATTTATGATTACTATTTTTCGAGATATGAGAAATCTTATGTAAAAATCAAACGTACTTTACGACTTTTATCTTAAGCTGTAATACAGTATTTCATTTTTATATCCTCGATACGTATTTATAAGATCTATTCAGATTTTATAAACCTACAATCGAAAATTTTAAAGCGTCCAAAACTTTCTCATATCACGAAAAACAAAGGAATTGTTCAGGCATTAAATATACCCAAAAGATGAAATCAAAAGCACAAAAAGATATTCGCCGAATGTATATTATCATCTATGTTAGAGATTTTGATATTTAATTACTTCTGAAAGGTTTCTACCGGTCGAATGTCGATATAAATTTCTCTCGATGATGCTAATAGTAATAAAATTCAATTCTATTAATTGGAAATTCTTTAATATTATAAAATTGATTTAGTTTCTCTATCAGGATAATCAATAATTATTCCTTTAAAGACGTAATAGATCGAATATATTATTCTCTTTTCAAAGTGAAATATTTAATATATAAATTTCAAACTTTGTTTCTTATTTTTTTATTATTATTTCAAAAATATGCATCGAGATTGAATCCATATAAAGAAAAACAAAGTTTTTCTTTTTGTAATATTTACTTCGAATTTTATTTCATATAAACAGAAAAATATTGCCTTAGTTTCTTTGTTTGCTAAAATAAACTTCAACATATTTTATGTGTGAAATTCATTCACAAAAAAAAAAGTTTTTTCTACTGAGTAATATTAATTGTTTAATGTATATAATCAAACCATATATTTATACTGAAAATAAAGAAATTGACGCTTTTAAAATGATTATATTTTTTTCTCTCTCTCTCATGCTGTGCATTCACATCTCACACTTGTTATTATTTCAAACAGCTTTTTTCGACTCTATATATAGTGAAGTGATTGTCTTCCATTTTTAAATATCGTCAAAAATCAACAATTTTGTGCTTTTATATAAATACATTTTCTATGAAAAGTTTATCATTGTTATCAGCGTTTCAAATTTCAAAAGAACATTTTATAATTTGTAGACGACTTCTTAGTATATATACAGATTGAAAAACATGACATATATATATTTAAAAGAAACAAATCATTTGATAAGCTGCTTTAGACGAATGTTATTCTATTTTTAACTAGTTTGATAGATTTGATGTCATGCGTCCTTTAAAATATTTTTATAGGTGACATGCATACTGAAGAGTGTATAACGATTGATTGAAGAAAGAAAAGAGAAGTATAGGCAATTTGTTACACGAATCAAACTTCAATTGTTCGGCATATATACGTGGCCAATCAATATATATAAATGTAGTAAATTATAGCCTATGAGACGAAAGGAGAGAGAGGGAGAGGTGATTGCCCAAAGATAACATACATGCACAACATAATCAAACGTCAGTATGTGTGTAATTAACGTTTATATGAACTCGGATGATTTGTATGAATGAATATATTTAGACAAGAGACACATGTGACTTAGAAAAAAATCTTTCTTTTTTTTAGGTGAATTAATAAAATCGGGATTAGAAAGAATTTGTTTGTTTGTCAAAGAAAAAATCCTTTGAAGAATTAAAAAGGCTATTCGATACTTTTTTATATTTAAGTTATTGTTTCAATGAAAGAAGCCTTGCCTATTGCTTACTTTTCAATGCTGAGAACATTTAGAAGTGAAAAAGTAAAGATGTATGTTTAAACGACAGATGACATTGTCCGTTTCTTTTTATATCGTCGTCTACGAGTAATTGTCTTAATTCATAATTCACTCACATAATGTTGACGAAACAAACACAACACTTAATTTTTTTCTTCTTCTTCTTTACTTATAGAAACAAAAAAGACAAAGGTACCGCGCTGTAAATTCTCATGAAATATTTAAAGAGTAGACAATCAGTTATAGATCAATGATGTTTCAATCAAATAGAGCATATACATATATATAAAACTTGTCAACAGAATAAAAGATTTAAATAGAAGTAGATGATGACGATGACACAAGCAAGATTCCAATTAGGATAAATGCGTATACACTGGCAAGTGTCAAAGTCAAGAGACAAAAAAAAAGTATATTGTAAGAGGTGCGAAGATGACTTGCTGTGTTAAACAGTTAATGGGACTAATTTGAAAGAGAGCTCTTCGCTAGTCAGCATGATCTACTCATTTAATCTCTACATAGAAATCTATGTATAATAGAAACATTTTGATATTGTTTATACACATATTTATTTGTCATGATCATTTCATGCCTTTTTATTTTACATATAGATTATCATAGCAGAAGAAGAAGAAGAAGAAAAAACAGAGATCTGTTTCTACTATTTCTTTTCTTTTATATACTCGTCCTTATTTCTCATTGGCTATTGTATTCGTTTTGTTATGCCACCAATCGTGACCACTCTAATTATTCATTCCTTTCGACGACAACGACAAGAACGATGTAGTTGAGTGAAAGAGAAAGAAAAGAGAGAAGTATTGATTCGTACCTTAATTAACCTTTTCTGTTCTGATCTAGAATGTTAGTAATAATAGTCGCGAGTTCGAGCATAGAGAAAAAAGAAAGAAATTGGTAATCGAGAACCAATAGTAAGTAAGAAAGAAAAAGAGAACTGTCTCGTTTTTTTGTGTATATGCGTTGATTAGGCGATGACTGTCTCATAGTTATTATAAAGCGCAAAGGCAAATGGAGAGAAGAGAAAAGAAAACAGTGTGATGAAAAGAAAATGATACTGAAACTCAATTCGACGCGAAGAAGAAGAAGAAGAAGGAGAAGGAGAAGAAGAAGAAAAAAAATAAGAGAAAAAGAGAAGCGAGAAAGAACAACATTAAGATATAGAGACACTCTATACACTACTAAGAAAATGATATATATCCAACCTGCATACGAGTACGAAAAAAAAAGAGAAGAAGAAGAGAGAGGGAGAGAGGAGAAGAAAAAAAATATATTCACTACCTCTCACAACATTTAACGGTACATTGCATTAAAAAGCAGAGAGAAAAGCCATATAGAGAAACATCGACATACATACGACAAGTGATACTAATAGTTGATAAACGTATCTTTTACTGTAATGTTTAATTAATTTTAAATATACGAAGAAAAAAAGAAACATAGAATAAATTTATCAGGTTTGTTTTTACACAATTAGAAATCTATTTAATTTAAATATGCTAATTTATTATTATAGTTATTTCTTCAAAAAATCGTCAAAACGTTATCCTTCAAGAGTTTTCATTCAATGCCACATTCGCTAAAAGCGAATGTGGACATTGTTCCATCATCATCATCATCAACATCCACACCACCAAAACAACATAAAACAAAAACACCGATTAGTCGATCATCATCATCGTCATCATCAAATTCTTCATCATCCGGTTCCAGCAGATCTCGTTCTCGTTCACCGATTTCTCGGCGTTCACGTTCACCAACACCTTCATCATCAACAACACCGATTACAAATAATACTTCTCATGTACCTTCATCATTTTTACATCAACAAGCAGCAGCAGCTGCAGCTGCACTTTTTTCAAATAGTTCTCTTAGTTCTTTACTACCAATGTATAGTATGGGTCTATTTCCAATACCTCCACCACCACCTATTCTACCAGCAGTTAATTTTTCTACCGAACAAATTGTTCGTGTTTGTGAATCATTAGAAGAAACTGGTGATATTGATCGATTAGGAAGATTTCTTTGGTCATTACAAGTTGCACCTGGTTCAGCAAATTTATTAGTTCAACATGAAAGTATTTTACGTGCACGTGCATTAGTTGCATTTCATTTGGGTAATTATCGAGAACTTTATCATTTATTAGAAAATCATAAATATACACGTGATTCACATGCGAAATTACAAGCTATGTGGATGGAAGCACATTATCAAGAAGCAGAAAAATTACGTGGAAGACCATTAGGACCAGTAAGTTTGCTTTTTTTTTTGTTTCTAGATTTTATTATTTTTGAAATTATTTGAAGGTTGATAAATATCGTGTACGAAAGAAATATCCATTACCACATACAATATGGGATGGTGAACAGAAAACACATTGTTTTAAAGAACGAACACGTTCATTATTAAGAGAATGGTATTTACAAGATCCTTATCCAAATCCAGCTAAAAAACGTGAACTTGCACAAGCAACTGGACTAACACCAACACAAGTTGGTAATTGGTTTAAAAATCGACGACAACGTGATCGAGCAGCACAAGCAAAAAATAGACAACAATATGGTTTAGATACTGGTAGTTATTCTCCACCATCATCACCTGACTCTTCAACAATCTAAAGAGAAGACAAAAGAATCATCTCCCGGTGCTCTCTCGGTAGCGGAGAACTATGTATCTAAATATTTTTCTTTCTTTTTTTTTGTTCAGTGATTTTCGTTTTGTTGATGTTGTTATTGTTGTTGTTGTTTGCTATTCTTATTACTTAGTTTTTCTTTTTTTTCTCTTTCTTTCTTTTTCGTCTTTTGAACAAATAATAAAATATCAATTATGAAGCAAAAAAAACTCCCGTATATAATCAGCAAATGTTATCATTACTCTCCTCGTATGCCAGTTGATAGACATATAAACATATGTTTGCATTAGATCTTCATATATATATCGGCTTTTTTGTAATTATCCGATTCGCACGAATAAACATGCCGGTAACCAGATGATGGACTTAATATTTATCATTGATGTTAGATACTTTTTTTTTTCTTCTTCTCGAGTTTTAAATGATTATTTGATATGATTGGTTAGAACAATGTTAAGTCAACCGGTAAATACATCGAATCAGATTGTTGATGATATAGCATGCAGTCAAGGATAAGATAGACATTATATTAATTGCAATAGTTTGTTAGACACAAACGTTTTCGATTAATCTTTAGACCTTACCCATAGAATTCGAAATTCGTTAATTGATTGACAACTGTTGTGACATTTTTGTTTTACAAAACAAAAAAAATAAAATTTGATCAATTATATGAAAAGACGTATGTGTTTTTATGATATAATGATTGACATTATTATCGATATGTCTATCTCTATTCTTTTGACATTTGAATAAAATTGTATTTATGAATAAAAAGGATATTTTGTTCCTGTCGATAAAATATAAAACTCTAGACAAGTTTACATATATATAGTATTCATGTTTCATATCCTCCGGGCAGGGGATGAGATAATGAAGATTGTGTTATTGTTGCTGTTATTCTTGAGGAATTAGACTAACAACTGGTGAAAGATCTATTCATTGAGTAAAAAAAGCGAGAAAGAAAGAAGAAAAAAAAACTCTGACAGAGATAATTATCCGACACAAGGAAGAACAAGTGCTAATGTCTGAACAAGAAAAAGAACTCATCATCTATCTAACTAAGACAAGAATATATGTCTGCTAAAGGCATTAATCTGTGGTGAATTTCCAAGTAATCGAATTGATTATAAATCAGTCGACGAGAAGGAGAACGATATGGCCGCTAGGCAGACAGAATAGAGAATCAAATTTCATCAAATGCGTGTGTGAACGTTTATTTTTTGTTAGGATGTAGAAGTTGTTACGCTCTCGATTTTAAAGATGGAAACAAGAAAAAAAAAACTTGTATGGAATGATCTCATCGTTATTAAACATGGATGACTAACTACACAAAAAGAGTGTTAGACTTCGATTATTGTCGAACATGTAGGATCAGTGGGTGTTAAATTGTAGCGTTGTGTTGTATGCGCGATAGAAGGAAATGAAAGATAATCTTGTTAGCTACATCAACCGATCATTATCATCATCGACCATTAGTATGAAGCGACAGATTGATTTCCGTGGCCAGATGTTCAAAAGAAAATTAGTTAATAATCGATCATATTACTTACTGACAAACATGTTTTACACAAAAAACCTTCTTAGTATTTGTTTAGAAAAACGTTTTAATAATTCTTACGATATACATATATTTATATAAGTCAGTTGTGATCATCATTCGATTGTATTCATTGAACAGCAGTTCGTCTCAGCATGAGTTTAAATAAATAGACTAATCAATACATATAACTATGAATGAATGAATGAATAAATTTTTCTTTTACGACTTGTTGATTTTTGAAAAGACTAATTGTAAGTATCCTTTTTTTCTTCTTCTCCTGATCACTCAATGAACGAACAGGTGTTATATGCATGTATTTCTAATCAATGATCATCATCAACAGATTGAAAATATATATAAGACGTCAATTGACAAACATTTTGTTTTCACACATTTCTTTTTCTTCTCAACAATGTTTGATCCTTGATTTTGTCATTGTCGGACAAGCCTCAGGGGATTTTTATCGTTTACATTAGAATTGTGTCGCTCAGAAAAAATTTTAAAAAAATGAAAATGACAGAGAATAAAAATATTGACAAGTCTGTGTCTATAAGAGAGAGAGAGAGAGGGAACGGCCCCTAATGCAATTCAAGTATTGTCGACAGTTTCTATTTAAGACGAATGACAAATATTATCTTATAAATGTATTATATGTATATGTTTAGTTTGACGGTTAACAATCGGTATTGAACATTTGACAAGTGGAAAAAAGGGATTCTATTTGTCTGCATAATGGATGAGATAGCCGCAAGCTACTGTTAGCTTTATATTTTAATCTATTTAACAGTCAAAAGAATAATGATCATGATTATTTACTTATATAATCACAAAAGAAGAAGAAGATAGATTTTTTTCCTTTTTGTTAATAGATCTTTTAATTTCATCTGTCATATTATAGTTTTTTTTGTTGTTTAGTAGAGGATTAATCATTCGAATGTATTTGATAAGTGTGAGTGCTCTTGATATATCTTTCAAGCGTAAACGATGCGAACAACATGTCAATAGTATAGAATTATTTGTATAAGAAATGCTGCTTGAATGAATAGGATACTCGGATAACATTAGCGGTTTTTTCTTGCACTTCTTCTCATATAGATATTTGAAAAATCTTATTTTTCTTTTTTTTACATAAATATGATAGACAGATGTTCAAGCAGCATATTGAGTATCTCATTAGGAAACGGGAGGTGTACTTCTTCGGTATAATGAACTTTCAATATCAATTGTATGT